CATAACTCGGCTTGATTGCATGCTTCATTGTAACTAGAAGTGATGAAAGAATTATTTCCCTGCTTTATAAGAAATGTTGGCATTTGTAGACAAAACATGAGATAATAAAAACGTGTGTTGCCAATATAGGGTCAAACTAAAGTGAGAGACAAAACGAGCTCCAAATCATTACATTACTAAATACTTTTACTACAGTTTACTTTAGTTGGCTGAGAGTGGATCCTTAATGACTTCAGAGCAGAGTTTTTGGGGAGATTTTGCCTGAAGAAGCAGTGTTATGAAAAGAAAGAATCATTTTATCTCTCTTCAGGCATTTATCAAGAATATCAAGATTAAAATTGGCATTGAAAGTCAGGAACTAAATTCTTTTCACACCTCGTCTCACAGCAGAATATTTTTCTCTTTTGTTGACACTCAGCCAATGCAGTCACAAAGTATTTAGACATTCCCTTTTGCACACTTCACTGTGCTGCAGATATGTTTTCAAGCTGATAAGAACCAATAACTTTCCTGTCAATCTACACTCAATAAAACATAAATTTAAATATAAAAAAGGAAAAACTGAAAACTTTGGAAGATGTGTGGTCAGGTTTATCCAGTTTGCTTAAGTTATTATTTGTATATGTCTTGAACTTCCACCCATGGCAAACAGAACTGACAGCACATAGCTTAGAAAGGATACAGCCTACGTAACAACCCAGAATTCATGCTGCATGCCAGGACAACAACCATGAAGTCCAAAGGACTCTCTTTAGCCCTTTATGATAAAATTACTGGAACAAATCAGAGCAACAATATAAAAGCATTTCTGAAGCTCTGAATGTCCCCGACATCAATCATTGTGAAGTGGAAGTTTGAAACTAACACAACTATTCAAAGTTGTTGGCCACTGGTACAAATTGCATAAGAGGCAACAGAGACTTTTGTCAAAGCTTCCAATATCTGTCTCTGTCCTTTTTATATTACTATTATTATTATAATTTCCTACTGTCACACCACCAGATCTTTTGGTTGGTAGCAGCTTCATAACCTGCTATCTTGCTATTCTTGATCTGCCACTTTTCAAACAATTCCTGTTTCCAAGTCACAAAAACGTAAAAGCTGGCATTGTTTTCGTTTCAATACTGTGTGTGTTGAAGAAAACTTTATTATAAAGCACTGTGTGAATGAATATGTACATACATGAATGTGACTTGTAGTAAAAAGTTGCCTTGAAGAGCTCAGCTAGAGTTGAAAAGCACTGCATATAGTTAATCTGCCACTGAAATTAAGACCCAGTTATGTGGTCTGAGTAAAGAGCCCATCATTTGATGGGATCAAACCAGCTGGAACGCACCATGACCCCACCCATAGGCTGCTTTATATAAACGAAGGGCATGTCCACGATGGTATATTGTGAAGAACTGAGCTGAATTTTTTTGGTATGTTGCTGTTTTAAAAACTGGATGAGGTGGGTGAATGTGACTGGGAATCTGGTAGGCCTACCCTGGTTTAGTCACTTTTTTTTACCTTGATGAGGATGATTGTTTAAAAAACAGATTTCATGTTGTACTTAATAACACCTGAAACTAACAACTGAGACCATAAACTTATCAGGAAAGTGTTTGCAGAAGTTGCAGATCAGGGGAGGTGAATTCCATTTTCCCACTGACTCACATACAAATGAACTTATTGCAACCAGAGGCATTGTCCCCCTGGTGGCCATTAGAATGCATTTTAAGACATTTTCACTTTTCAGACCTACAGCAATGATCACCATTCACATAGTCAAATTAACTTTGCTTTTTAATAATCTACCTCAGCTGTTTCTGCCCAGATCTTGTGAAGGGAACTTGAAGAAAAAGGCATCTAAGAAGGACATCAGTTTCACCAGAGCACATCAAACAAACTTTATGTGAGATGAAAATCACAAGTAAGAACCAAACAGCGTTTTTCAGCCCGTTTTTCTGTTTTTTGATTTGTGTGTGTGTGTGTGTGTGTGTGTCCCTGGTGCCAGCCCATTTCTCCTGTGGAGCCAGTGCAGCTGACTTCACTCAGCAATCAGCACAGTGTTTGAAAGCTGTAGAGAAGAGCTAGCCAGCCCCAGTGGGCCTGTTTCAGTAGTGCAGTGAATGTCTCCAGCTAGACAAGCAATATACCTTTCACTGAGTAATCCTTTTCTCCAGCATTTAGCATTTGGTGTTGCCTTTCTTTTGTTCATATTTTATATGACACACATACACTATATGCAAAGAAGTATTATGCCTCTTGATCTTTGAATTCAACTGTTTTTTGGTCCCATAACTGCTGTTGCATAAAATCAGTCACCTACTCATGTAATCTGCCTTTATAAACATTTGTGAGCGAATGGGTCGTTCTAAAGAGCTTACTGACACTTTTATTGTTATTCCCTTCATCTGGTAGCCCTTTCCAGGAACATAACACTTGGGTAGAACTCCAAGTACCACGTCTGGACACTGGTCATCTAATATTATCCTGACTGTCAAGGTGGTGGTGGAAGCATCATTTTATGAGGGTACTGCTCAGCAACAGGGAGAGGGAGACTTGCCAGATCTCAGCAGCCAAATACAGAGGTTACTACATAAAACCTGCTTAAAATCTACTTTAAAGTATTGCTGTAAGCAGCAGTGAAGGTCAGGTGTGGTCTCCCTGAACTAGAAATAACAGACTAACTGCTGATAATCCAATGGATTTAGTTGAGGGTTGAATCTGATTGAGTAATTGAGGGATGGTGCACACTCCCAGGAAAGCAACTGGACACTTCATAAAATATACCTTAGATTGTCAACCATAATTTTAATAATAAACATCATGCTGAGGCCAATAAAACATTAAACTTGGGAATAAGAACATAAACTCATCAGTAAAGTGTTTACTGAGGGTACAGACTGAGCGAGCCGAACCCTGCTTACCCATTCATCTACATGTAACTGGACTTCTTTTGTGATCAAAGGTGTCGCTTCCCTGGTGGTCATTAGATAAAAAGTGCATGTTAAGAAGAGAGTGCTTTGGAACAATTAGAGCAGCCACATACTGAATCCACTGAATATAATCTCCCTCAAAGCATCTTTTACACATTTCTTTAAACTGCAGCAAAGACCAGGCCTATATCATAGGCCACAAACGCCTTAAATAATGAGATTTGTTCATACTTGGTTAAAAAGGCTTAAAAAGTGGGGAACAAACTGCAGGATGGGCCTGACTTCACTTTAACTCATAGTGCATTGCATTGTTCACATGAAAATTTCCACAAATAGCCAAGTAACGAATGGAAAAAGAGAGCTTAGACATTTAGTACCTCCTCTCTCACCTCCTCATAGCTGACCAATCACTGAAAGAGGCTGGTTATAAAGAAATATTCAATCAGTGGCTTTAGAAACACATAGACATTTTTTTTAACAGTGTAGAGGTTTCAGAAGTAATCCAATGTGCAGTTTGAACACTACATAAATCCAGCTAATGTCATTTTATAAAGTTCTTACACTCCAGAAAGACTTCAGAGCTTTCAGTTGTCTGGTTTAAAATCTGATAAACATATCCTTTAGTTGTTTTAAAGAAGCTGTACTAAGAGGGATTTGCGTAAAGCCATCACCCAATGAGTCATTGACTAAGGTAGAGGAATCTCATAATTAAGGCCTCATTAAAGCTACACAGCCCAACTATGTTGGTTTACAGGGCAGACAGGAACCTCAGAGATTCACAATGGGGCCTTTCATAATACCTCACTTAGGGGAAAAGAGAAAAAGCAGTTGCTCTTAGCATTTGGGCAGATGTAATTGCAATCACTCAGCTTGTCTGATGCTGATAATGGGGCGATGGGAAATTCCTGTCAGAGTCGTGGCGCAGGCTGGTTTCGCAACCACTTTGGCAGGCTCCGTGTTCCACTGCGGGGCAGCAAATGCGTTACGGCATGCTCACATAGCTGTCATTAAACATATTTTGAGAAAAAAAAAAGCATAAGACAATCAAAACTCACAAGTGTGTGCCACTCTCCTGCTTCTTGAGCAATGAAAAGGCAAATATTATATCGTCTGTCATCCCTGCACAGTTAAACCTGTTGACAGACTACAGCTTGTGAAAAAATGGAAAGTGAGTATGCTGCAGCAATCCCACTCACCTAATACACTCAATAAATCCTGGCTGTGTTATTTTCAGCATCTTTATTCCTCTTGACTGGTAGAAAATTAAATTGTGGGGGAATAAGAACAAATATTACGTGGTACCTAAAAATGTTGGTCAGCTCATTTCTAAATAAAAATGTAATGTTTGTTTTCCAAATTTTGGGTGTGCTTCTTCAGCAAGCAGCTTATTCCTGTCTGAAATGTGTGCTACAGTAGGTGGCTGGAATAGCACATGGGTGCGACGTTCTTGTGGTCGGTCCTTGGGTACAGTATGTGACAGTTGGCATGTCAGCAATGCTTCTTTGAGAAGCCTCTGTTGTAAGATGTTCATGCAGTGATGCTAACAACCTCATTTCACTGGCTGGACGTGCATTTGTGGCTCGTGAGACCACCCAAGAAACAATATGCTCGTATCAAAGCTTTTTAATAAGCACGGCAAGAGTAGCAATAAAGACCTGATTTATCAGGATGTTGTGAGGGACAGCAGCTATCTAGTTTCAATTAAACTGGACACTCGAGGAAAACAAAACACGTGAAAAGTAGCCTGGACAAAACAGCCATTATATTTAGCTCTCAGGGGGACATTAACCTGAATGTTGTGTAGTGTCTTTGGCAGTTTTAGCAGGTAGGTAAATGCAGCCGTTTACTTGGCAGGCTGCCATATTGCTTGCAGAGGTATTTGAAATATTTCGAGTATTTTACAATTCAAATAAAGGCACAGAGGCATGAAAAGCTTTGTTGTATTGCAGAGAAATAAAATACAAATTCTGATAATGAATTTCTGAAATGAAGATATTGATAATTTTCCTCACATCTTAAGCAATCAATGACTATAATCTTGTAAGGAGATGTTTAAATTATGTGCAGACACCACGTGGCAACATTTTAAAGAGTTTTATTTCAATTTACAGAATATTTTAATTAAAAAATAGTGAAGTTATCTTTTAATTCTGTGGTTTCCTGTATAGATTATGGCATTAAGTGTGGATCTCAAACATAAATATCAAATTTCAATGCTTCCCAAACTTACTAATATATCAGTTATGATAAATTACAAACATGTATTTGTCAAGAAAAACATAAAATACAATAAAAATATTTAAGGTTTGTAAAAGATAAAACATAGGGGACTGTATAAAAAAATCTTAGTTCATCCAAACATTGTTCTACGTAATCTTTAAAAAGCTGTAAAAACACAATATTTTACAGGGAAACTGGAGTATATTAATTTCCTTATACACTAACTGACCTATAAATGTATTGCATTGACCATTCCAGGTGTAAACATGAAGCAGAAGAATGGCTGCTTGAGAGTGAGATAAAAAATGGCAAAAAGAGTGAGCCTTTGACTGACAATGGTGGTACTAAGGTGCTCGTGACATGACATTAAAAACTAATAATTTATTGGCATTTGTCGCAAACAATATGGACACATATCCAGGTGGTGGAAAAGGAGTATCCACACAAGGTGGATGAGATCACAAACTTTTAACTTCTTCCCTCTCAGATGAGTTGAAGATAAAAATGCTCAGCAGTATTGGCAAAACTCTTCTTTCTATAGTCTAAAAGGCTAGGTGTCAACCACAGACTGTATATGAAATATGGATGTAGTCAGGCACTGGTTTCGAAAGACTCATTTTGACAGTCAAGTTTTTACCATCACCAATAGAAACTGACTATGCTGCACATGAATCTGTTGTTCTTAAGCAACTGGCATTGTTGTGTACTGGTCACCACACAGAGCTTTGCAGACCATTGTCTACATGTTTTAGCTATTTGCTGTCACCAGAGGGCAGCTTGTGTTGTTGTTGGACCTTCCGCCAACCACAGAGAAGACCAAAGTTACAACATACAAAGTGTTGAAGTGAAACTGTTACAAATGTTACAAACAATAAAAAGTGTCCACTGCAGCCAATGTTTGATCTTTAGTGGGGGGGGGGTTTGCTATTCCTACTCTTTCTTCACTCCCTTTCCTTTTTTCAGCCAATCAGCATTCTGCTTATCTGTTACATGCTGATGGCTTTTCTCAAGGACTCCAGTCAAACATACACAAAATCCTTCACTCAGTGTAGCAATATACCTGCACAAATGGACATGAACTATGAATTGGTAGTATGAATTCCCGTTTCAGCAAATAAGAGTACGCTGCATAATCCTCCTTACTTTTTCAACAAAAAAAAAAAAGTTGCCCCCCTGCTGGCCATCGATAGAATGCAGTTTAAGGTAAGTTGTAGTACTTTCATTTCTTAAACATCCATTTTTTTATATACAGTCCATGGTATTAAATTGGTGACGTTTAGCCACGGAGATGTTAGCATTTGATAACTGGCACTAAAATGATGCCATAAACAAAACTGTGGGACAAGTCAAATTACCATCTGAAAAGATCAGGAATCACAGATGAAATTAGCTTATATTTTATTCTGGAGCAAACAGTTAATTTCATGGCATTATTGTTCAAATATTTAACTTAAAAATGATAAATGTGGATTGTGGGATTGTGGGTCTGTGGGACTCTATACAACTAATCCATCCTCTCACCGTTGAATATTTCAGTCTTAACTGATGCTAAAATGGCTAAAAATGCAGCAACAGTTATGATACAATACCACATGAGGCCAGTCTACTGAGCATATTTTAACTGTCCAGTGTACTCAAGGAGTCTATGTACCATATAATATAATAAAACTGGATTTTAATCCAACAAAATTATAGTTCATGAGTGTTTAGACAATAGATAGAAAAGACAAAAACATGAATGTCAATATACATTAAATGCACAAATTTACTATTTTGTGTTCCCTAGCTCTTTCAACCACTACAGAGAACATAAAAAAAATCTTGGTTTACTGCAAAGGTCTTCAACAACCATGAAAAATATACTGTAACAAACATATTCTCCATTTTATTTTCAGGTTATTCTATCTGTGAAGCAACATGCGTCCAAGTTCCTGGGGGGGGGAGGTGGAAGTGCACTGTGAGAAACAAACTCAGTCCATGAGTGCTTCACACTGTCCTTTCACTGACTTTCATCTGACAAGCAGTCAAGTCAATGTCAGCCTTACATCCTTCCTTCAAGCCTCCCCTGTGGTTTGGTCCTGTGTGGCGGTGCTCATAAGCAGTCCATTGAAAGAAAATAAAAAAATAAAAGGCAGCAGTGGACAGCTTGGAGGATGCCCTGCTCGTGTTTGAGGCTATACACCAAGCAGCATGCCCATGAAATCTGAACCGTTCTGTATTGTAATGGAAGCACCGGCTGCGTTATCCACAAATATGGAGGTGTACTGCCCAGCCTGCAGAGCAGAAACAAATAAAAATAAATGTAGAAAGAGTGTAGAAGAGTACTTTATGTCTTACTCTTGTGTGTCCCTGAGCTCACCTGCAGCTCCAGCAGTCCCTGCACGCTGACAGTGAATATCTTGCTGTTACTTTCCAAGCCAACGATCATCTCCAGTGAACTGCAATCAGATTAAAAAATAACATTTCTGAGTAATTTTCAAACATGTCAAAGCTGCATTCTTTAAAACCCCATGAACTTCATCCAAGTGTAAAAGGCCTTATATTAAAAAGATAGTTAGTCATTGGCCAAATATGCATGCTCACTTTACTGCCAAGTTTTAGATGAGAGGAATTATTCCTTTGACATAGTTTAAGGGTAAACAGGGAAACTATGTGTTGATTGTTTATGCCTATTACACATTGGCTTGCGGGGTCTATTGGTAAAATGTCAGGAAAATCAACTGCTCCAAAATAAAATAAAAAATAAAAAAAAACCTTGGAAAACAATCAAAATGTATTCTCCATACAAATCCTGGATCTGTATTTTTGAGCCATTTGATTCCACTGATCACATAATACTCTTTAATAGTATTCAAAATGCTGCCATGTGCCACACGTTCCATGGCAAACCAGTAGCTGATGCAAACTGAGAACTTCACCATCAAAGTAAAAGTTGTGCCAATATTGCAAAGAGTGAAACTTTTACTTTGAAGGGGAACAGTCCTTGTTTCTGGACTGCAGGCACTCTTCATAGTTTCACGACCTCTTGGCGAGTAAATGGCAATTATTTGCAGATAAGTCGGCATCTCCATGCAAAACACTGGTGACCATAGCAACCTGCTAGGAAACAAAGCAACCGCAAACAGGTTTTTGGTGCCACACCATGTACCTCTTTGTGACCATTTTTCCCCAGGGGTTGCCACCAACCTCCAGCATCTTCTCGCCAACTGGTTGGGAAATATGTATTTTTCATTCGTGAATTGCGCATGCCATATGGCTGCTGTCCAGCCTTTAGGCCTGTATTATTCAAGTCTTAGCTAGCTTCTTGTGGCAGCTTCAGAATCCATGATACAGTTGTTTGAATAATCTCAATCTTCTTGTTTGACTCTCAGAAAGAAAAGAGCATAAAGACGAGTTTGACCCAAAGGTCAAACTTTTCCTTGAGCAACTGAGCACTCTCAGAGGCTGCACAGATGGCTGTAACATAGCTGCAGCCTTTAACCACACAGTGAGAGCACTGGCTCCTGTTTAGTGGAAAATGATACATTTTTATGGCAAATCAATCATATTGGCCTTCCCTCCAACTGCCATCACAATGAGCCTCATTTCGCATTCTCTGCATTTTCATGAGTGGGAGGGCGAGACTGGCTGGGGCTTTGGCTCAAAAAAGCAAAAGCCAAGCACTCTTTTGGGTTAAGTAACCCATCATAATAATATTATTTATGCATTCCCCTCATTGTACCACACTGAAAGGGAGGCTGTGGAGCTCTGCACAGTCCAGGGGAGACTTCAGGGAACAATTCATTTCAACAGCTTTCACTGACTTTATGTAAATAGAAATTTTGAAATACTGGAAAGAATTTGGATTTGGTATGGTTTTGTAAAAACATAAAATAAAATAAATGCCCTTCAGGCCCACCCTATCTGATGCTTCGTTATTTGCCTCGCACATCCCAAACTAGAGCAGTTCTCTGCTGTGCTGTTGTATGTAACAGGCTGCCTGCAGTGTCAAAGGTGAGTCTATAAAGATTAGTTAGGCGACAAGGACAAGGCCTCTAAATGAGAGGACATTTCCTTTTAGAGACCTGCTCTGTTTTTATACAGGAAATGCCAAACTGGTTCCACACAAAGTGTAACAGACAACCCCTTTTACAGCTCGTAACTTCTGGTGAAAGTTAAGGAAGCATTAAACACCACTAAAATATGACTGTGAGAGGAGAAAAGCCAAACGTAAATTGACAAAACAAGAATCTCAAGAATGCAAAGGATGACTGTAGTAATATTGAAACCTACTCAAGATTGATTTTATTTGTGATTAGTGGCGATATTATTAACTAACGTGCCAAAACTACGTTGTTACAAAGATTAGGTGCATAATTGAGGGGATTTAGGGGTGAGTCTATAGGAGACTTAGCTTCAGGATATTTAACAACCTTACAGGATACATACGTGTATCTGTGGCAGAGGGATTCGATGCAGATCAACACCCGAATATTGTCCCTGGCCTTAAGCTGGCTCTTGCTCCTCTTCACCTCATTGTGATCTGTAAAATGGTCAGTGATCAATTAAGATAGGACAGCAAGAGTTACAAAAGTAGCTAAAACATCAAAAAGAGTCTATAAGGTTAGAACAGGCTAAAATACAAGACAAAGACAAAACAGCATAGGTCAATAAAACTAAAACTACACTAGAAACAAGAAAAAACTCTTAACATTTCAAGATTGAAGTGCAAAGGTTATGAAAAAAAGAAAACTTTACAAGAAAAAAATTGTAAATTTGTGGGGATGTGATTTTTGCTTCTGAACGTGTTACTTTAATCTTTTCCTTTGACATTTTACCCCCATTTTTTTTTCTTTTAACAGATGCAATATGTCATTTCAATAAAAAAAAGGATCATTGCATAAAGGATTACCAAGATTTAAGTTATCCTTTATATGTAGGAGTCTTAAAGGTATAAATCTTAAACTGAATTTCGATAGCCTTCAGTGTTAGTGATAGACTGACATGCACCCCGCCTTTCAACCTATGACAGCTGGGAAAGGCTCCCATGCTCTGCAACCCTAAGTTGGATAAATGGTTAAGAAAATGGGCCTCACAGTATGTATATATATATCCTATAATCACCTTCTTAATTATAAACAGGCAATTAAATGACTGGATTTCCACACGTAAGGGTTCAAATCAACTTTTATAAATGAACTTTTTAGGGATTTATAGTTGCAATGATACATCAGTTTAGTCTAGTGTTACGGTTTCAGCCACACTATTTACTGTAGCTCAAACATTTCCCACTACTCCTAATTTAGACATTAAACAAACGGTGGATTAATGGTGAAGTGGTGACGCATTTATTACAAGCTAACACCAATTCTTAAAAACCCATCTATAATACAAAGCCAAGGATCATTTTTTTCATGTCTGACAATGGGCCAGATTTCAAACATTCAAGGATCAGAAGATGATAAGATGACAATGAAGTGGTCAGACGAATGAGACACTACTTTTTATTTGCACTGGACAAAAAATCATATCGCAGCTTCTTATGGCACGAGAAGTGGTTCGTCAAACAAACAGAGCTTGTTTGGGTGTTCTGTAAACAGTTGCTTCTCTGCTAAGCTGCTCAGAGAGTCTCTGCTTCAGCGAGGTTTCAATAATGTGTGTATGTATGAACTTGATTAGAATCAAGGCTTCTTTTCTTATCACAAAACTGTGATAAGTTTAACCGTTTTAACAAAGCCAACAAAAGCATGAAGAGGAGAATGGAAGCATGCCCTCACTCCTTAGTGGAGGTCTAATCATCCAAAAAGAGGGCCAAGACCTATCTGGGTGGTCTATTAGTGAGCAGGGGCTTTAAGGCTTTGCTATATTACAGTAATAAGCTTTATAGGAAAGTTACTGTGATTTACCAATATGGACATTAGCAGAGAACTGGTAGATCCCTGTGATGGGAGCTGTGAACCTCCCAGTCGACTGGTCCATTCCCGACCCTCTGAGGAAAGCTCCTTTAGCAGGCGGCTGGAAGCACAGGAAAAAAAAGATTGATAGTGGATATGTTTTATGGCAACAGTATACAGGACCACAAAATAAAGGCCCAGCTACAGAGCACTAAGTACGGTATGTCTTCTGTGTGTGCTTCCAGGGCACTTTAGCAGAAACAATCCTACAGCCACTGCCCTTTCTCATCACTGTGGCACAGTTATGACAGAACTGCTTCCATGGCTCATTTATGCACAAGGTGTTGCATGGATTATGGCATTAATGAGACAAGGCTGTTCCATTTTTCACATGGAGGTTTACTGATATGAAGGAGCATAAGCTATTTTCGCCTGTTCCCTTATCCATATCGGGTCGCCACGATGGGTAGCAACACATGTTAGATTTGGCAGATTTTTTTCTTTACTCTTCCTGATGCAACCCCAAAGGAATTTGTGCGTCCTCCCCAGGTCAAACCAGGGATTTTTCACTCGTTACACGAACGTGCAGCTACTAAACCTAAATGTTGGTGTAGCATGGGAACGCTGAGGACCAGGCAGGAGGAGAATAGCAAATCAAAGTGATAAATAGGAGATTGCTGGTAGGAGTGGGGACTGCTCCCGGCCATCTTGATAGACTGTGAACTGTGTTCCCCATATGGGCTGGATTGATCCATCCACTTTTTGGCAGGAATTTAAAACACGCCTAACTGGCAGTGACTATTGGTTATTTTACCCGCCCTTTATATACCACTGTTTAGTAATTATTAATATTTAGGTTCTAATGCAACAGTATTTTATTTTTGGATTACTGCATAATTCCCAGTTCAAAATAATTTATCTTACACTGGACCTTAGTGCAGCAGCCCCCAGTTCATTGTTTGAAACAAGCTTTTTCAGCACTTTCAATTCAATTCAATTTTACTTATATAGCGCCAAATCACAACAACAGTCACCTCAAAGTTCTTTATATTTTACGGTAGACCCTACAATAATACATAGAGAGAAAAACCCAACCATCATATGAACTTCTATGAGCAAGCACTTTGGTGACAGTGGGAAGGAAAAACTCCCTTTTAACAGGAAGAAACATCCAACAGCACCAGGCTCAGGGAGGGGCGGCCATGTGCCACAATCGGTTGGAGAGAGAAAAGGAAGACAGGACACTTCTACTTTAAGACCACCATCCCTTTAAACCAAAGTTCTTCTGATTGGCTGCTGCTCATAAACAGGTTTGATCAGCGGCTGTTTGTGGCTTCTATAGATTTTTTGTTTTGTTTTATGTGTGTACAAATATTTGCATTAAAAAATGTTAGAAATTTTTAAAAGAGCACACATTGTGTCAAAATTCACACAAAATGTGTTATCCCTGAGCACACGCAGCACATGAGTTAACGTTTATCACATTTAACACATGGAGTCTAAACCATGAATCTCTAATAAATAGGGCCCGTGGACTCAGACCTTATTTTTATCCTTTGTCTCATTGTGTGCCTCTATAGTTCTGACTCTGCAAAAATATTAAAACTTTCCAAAGCCATAGTAACACGTCTTCACTAACATAGCTCTGTGTTTGCATGTTTAATAGTGTGCAGAGCCCAATGCACCCTCCTCCAGCCTTGTCAGCTAGTCCTAACTGGGCATAGTTCTTCCACTACAGCATGCTGTTTCAAACAGTGTCTATTTCTGTCCTCTCCACACTTTATTCCAAGTCTGAGACAGAGTGCCTTTTGTAAGCTGCCCAGAGAGTGATGTGTAGAATAGAAAAAGCTGATATTTTTGACCAAAGAGGCAGTCTGAGTCTTGGAGTGGCACTGCATGCTTTGCCAGTGCCAGTTACCAGTGAGGGGATGATCCCCTCATAATTCTCCCACATGCAAAGTAAGCAGTGATTAGCAAACACTTACTCTTTCAGGGTTACGACAGAGAAACAAAATGTGAAACCCTGCAGAGGATGGTTAGCCAAAACTTTAGTTTTTCAGCCGCAAGCAGGGAACAAAGCTGGACCGATTCATAAACATTTACTCGGCTTCAAACAAACTTACTGTCTGAAAGTTCTGGAGCTCCACCAGAGTCTTCTTGTCGACCACTACGGGTCCCTTGAGCTTGCAGTGGAAAGCTTCTTCGATTCTGCGGTACGAGGTCATCCCCTCCAGGGTGAGGATGGTTGTAGGTAGCTGGCTGGGGCTGATTTGTCTGTCCAAGGCTGCTGTTCGCCTCTCTGTAGCCTCTGACAGAAACATGCCCAGCACACAGTGACTCAATTGGATTTTTTTAACTATTCTCTCAGGATTATATTGTAATTTAAAAAAAAGGTGTATAACTGTAAGATGAAGAAAAGAACAACCTTGTATCCAATAAAGGAGAATAAATGAATTGGGACAAAAAATCAACAGGCTTCTACCTTTAATCATCTCTTTGAACTCCTGCAGGAGAACTTCTTGAGTTACTTGAGCCCCAGGAGAGCCAGGAGGACCCTGGGGACCTGGAGGACCTGGAGGACCGGGTGGGCCTGGCTAATGGAAGACAGAGACACAAAAAATAATCATGTATCCAACTTAGCATAAAAATTTTGTACATAAAATGGCTTAAAGTGAACATTTTTGAATAACTGTGGGACAAATAGCCTATCTTCTGGGTTTACCAGTGGTCGTTTGCGTTTGCGACATTTTCCAGGAAAGTTTCCAACGGGTCGTTTCACAAAGTCCATCCATGATCCCAGTGGATCCACCCTCTGGTGATCAGAACCCTGCAGCAGAACAGAAGTCTGTATAAATTATTAGCGCAACATGAGTGTCGACTCATAACGTCATGATTGCAATCCACGCACGCCCTCCGTCAAGATTTCAAGTCAGACAAACCTTTAAAAAGTTTATTCAATTTATATAATAATCATATATTTTATAGTAATTTTGGTCAAACAGGGAAATGTCTTTCTTTCTGTCTCTCTTGCTCAGTCAACTGCAAAGCTTCTCAACTGCCCATCAGTCACCATCGTCCTCCGAAAGCTTTACCTTGTGCTTATTTTTTCATTCCAGATAATTCACTCGTGTGCCACGTCACTTCTTATTTTGCCCAACAGGCTGGAATGAATGTAAACAAACTTTGTTAAGAGTAGTTGGTTTTTTTTTCTTTTCAGCACATGAAAATTTCCATGAGCACCCTGGTGAAAAATGAGTCTGCCTGTCTATGTGTAATGTCGATTCTGTGGACCGCAAGCCTCAATTACTGTAGTTTATAACAACATGTCAAAGTGGCCAACACTTTCCCCCTCACTAAAAGACAAACCAGTATTTTTTTATTAATACTGCTCATTAGATCTAATGATGGAAAATTTAATAAGTAAGATGGCATGAATATAGTATATAAACAAAGGGTTGTGTGTTTTCCAATCAGGGTGTATGTTCTCAGATAACTAATTGGTAAGAAACTGCTGTTTAGGTGAGTGAGATCTCACGGGGGGAAGTCCTCTGGATGAAACGTTTTTATACGTAGTGCTACAACTTGCTTGTTTTCATTTTGCTATAAAATGTGAGGCTGAATGACTTCCAATCACAGCAAGCTCACAAACTTACCCTAACCCTTCCCCAAATGTCAAGAGTCTTCAGCTGAGATGGAAGAAGAGATAAAGACGAGCCATGAAGGTGAGCTGTCTGAAATGGAATTTGTTTAGGTTTGGCAGCGGGACACGGATCACTTATCTGCTAAACCAACATGCCCCTTTCTTCACCGTTAAAGACTTGCATCTTGTTCCACCGCAACAGAGTAAATCCTTGTGTGTCTTTTTGTTAGGCTGGAATAAAAAACTGTTTCATGTTTGGGGATTTGCAGCACACACACACACTGCTTTTCACTCTCTGATTTTCTCTTTTCTCTGACATCAGGCAAAATAAACCACTTAACAGGCGCTGCATGTCAAACTGATCTTTGTTTTTGTTGCGATTTTGAGGCTTGGAAACAGATAAAAGGGATTGATTTGGGCAAGAATACCTTTACACTACTCACTCAGTACGGTTTCCAAAAAACTGGAGGCCAAGTTATTTTATGATATTCGTTAACATAACAATACTATAAGCTTTTAAGCAAACGTTTAACAAAATGTGCTTTTTTTGCTAAAATATAGATGACGAGATTGATACTACTTTTATTTCCATCTCCTAAATATGAAGCAAACACCACTGGCTTGTTAGTTTCTTTTAGCACGAAGACTGAAAACAGAGGGAAACAGTTAATCCAACACTTCAAAAGTAAGAAAATCCAGCAGCTCTCAAGCTCACTGATTCAATGCCAGCTCATAAATAAATAAATAAATACATTTTTATTTATATAGCACCTTTCAAGACAGAATCACAAAGTGCTGCACATAAGATTACAAGTCATAAAAAGAGAAAATAAAACAGGCAAAAAATTAACCAAAAGCAGTTTTAAAAAGGTGAGTTTTGAGTTGTTTTTTAAAAACAGCTACTGAGTCCACAGTTCTTAATGTTTGGGGGAGAGAGTTCCACAGTCTCGGGGCCACAGTGGCAAAAGCTCTGTCACCCTTAGTCCTCCTCTTAGTATTTTTTAAAGCAAGTAAGCCCTGATCAGATGACCTCAAAGACCTGCTAGGGACATAGGGCTGTAGCAGATCAAAGATGTAGGCTGGTGCCAGTCTGTGCACAGCCCTGTAGGTCAAGACCAGGATCTTAAAATTGACTCTAAATTTAACAGGAAGCCAGTGTAACTGAGATAACAATGGTGTCACATGTGAGTACTTGGAGGATTTTGTCAAAAGCCTAGCTGCAGCGTTTTGCACAACCTGCAGACGATCCAGAGAACCTTTGCTTAGACACATAAACAGCGAATTGCAATAATCCAAGCGTGACGAAATAAATGCATGTATAGCAATCTCCAGTGCAGAGCAAGATAAAATCGGGCTTAGCTTAGCCACATTTCTTAAATGATAAAAACAAGCCCGAACCAGAGATTTCACATGCCCATCCAATGTGAGACTCGAGTCAAAGGTGACACCTAAATTCCTGATAGAGGATTTAACATAGAGTGAGAGAGGACCAAGAGCTTTCACTATCTGCGATAGAAACCTATCAGGGGCGCATACGAGGACTTCAGTTTTCCGCTCGTTGAGTTGGAGGAAATTTGCAGCCATCCAACGTTTGATTAAATCTAAGCAATCATTCAGATGCTGAAGCTTAGATAAATCCTCGGGCATAAAAGAACAACTGAATATCATCAGCATAACAGTGATAAGAAATGTCCTCAAAAGAGCCCATTATATGCTGGACGGGGAGAAGATATATTAAAAACAATAAAGGCCCCAAAACTGACCCTTGAGGGACACCATAAGTGAGGGAGGTAGAGGATGACCTAAAATCGGAGACTGCCACAGAAAAGGATCGGTGATGGAGATAAGAGGAGAACCACTCTAATGCAGTTCCAGATACACCAACCCAATTTTTCAGCCTTTCAATGAGGATGTGATGGTCCAACATGAGTAGAACAGAGCATTTTCCTGCATCATTATTCATCAAGACCTATGAACCTATGAACGTGTCACATTATTTTCAATGTGCATGGTTCAGGCAGTTTTAGTATCTGAGCCCAGTATTGGAACCAATCAGCTAGTCTCAAATATTTTGGGGCTCTGAATGAATAGAGATGTAAAAACAAATGAAAACCTAAATTGTTTACAGACAATAGGCAACGGCCTTCCGTGCTCTGTATCCAGATTTTACCTTTACTCAACTACAGGCTGCTCAAATGTGACTGGTGGCTATTACTCGAACCTAATACAGACTAACAAACATGCTCATATTTGGATGTCTGTTTATAGAGATTATTCTGCACCTAAACAAATGGTTTTATTCCAAGACTGAAAAGTGAAAACAAACCTTACGCTGACCTTAGAGGGATAAAAAAGAATCCAAAATTAGGACGCAAGTCTCGGTTCAATTCTGCTTCATCTATATAAAATATGAAGCAAATCACAAACAATCCTCCCAAGGAACTTTATATTGTCAGGTGAAGATCCTACTATAATGGAGAGACGCGCAAGAGAGAAAGACAGCATGCCCCTGGCAACAGTGGGAAGGAAAAACTCCCTTTTAACAGGAAGCAACCTCTAGTAAGAACACACTCAGGTTGGAGGGGGCAGCCGTCAGTCGCACTGACAGTGACAGATTTATGCCATCATCTCCTAACATCCATCCAGTCCCCACGGTATTTTTTTTTTTAATTTAACAAAAAGCAAACAAATAAAAAACATGATTTCTATAAATTATTTCATCACTGCCCTCCAGTAGACTGGTAACCAGTCTAGGGTGTACCCCACTTGTCACCTTATGACAGCTGGAGAGGCTCCGGTGCTTAAAAAAACAAATATAACTGAGCTTAACAGGTCCTGGACTTTCTGATAGAGCCAGATTATATCTTTCCAGTCTATATACTATGCTATGTTAGCCACCTGCTGGCTGTAAGTTTGATTTATAAATCTGTCAAACTCTCAACAACAAAACAATATTAATGTAACATACCAGCTCTGTGAGCTTGGATAAATACTATAAATCAACATGCTGATGCTGGAACTGTAGACAACTCAGTACAATCTGAAACAGACCCTCAATGAGATGATGAGGCGGACCGGCAGGCTCTCAACTGAGAAAAAGTAAACACTTAACATTTGTTCTTGGTCAGTGTCAAAGATATAAAACTGTTAATTTGGCCCACACATGTGCCCGGTAATTACACCTCTTATCATTGCCAGGAAATCAGCCATGCTCTGAGCTTGGCATCCTCTTTAATACACACCATTGCAATTAAACCATTAAACCCTTGCCCTGAAGGATTTTCTGTGCTCAAAGAAGAAAGGCTTTGACCACGGTAATTATAACCTTCATTTCTAAGCTAAAATATAACTGCAAATCACTGTATAAATAATTTAATCATCAACTTTAGAAACTTTTTTCTATAAAAATATACTGTGCTCTCTTTGTGTCTGTTTCTACTGTCAGTAAAGTGCATCACTTGCCAAAAATTGTCTGATTCATTGCATGCAGCTGGGTGTATGTCTCAACCGAGAACTTCAAAGACTCCACACATGCAGACATGAAAACCATATTGCTGTATGACAAAGAAGAACCTGTCGAAAGGCCTTCAATCCCTCACTCGCTGCTATGCTGTAAAGTAAACTATAGATTCCTTTGCATAGCTCAGTATCAGCACGTATAGGTGACGAACAAACAAGGAGTGGATCCAGGTATACGTCGTAGAGTTGATGAAGAACACCGGGGCTCTGGCTTTGATCACCGCTGATGTGTGAGTGCCTCAAAGTGGCCTCGTCTCTCAGCGGGTATGAGCACACGCCTTTCCAACGCAGACCATGAGAATGTGTCAGGTATTCTGTCTGAAGGTGGGAAACGTTAAATCTTTTAGACAGTGTTTACCCTGGTCGATGATGGGGCTCTAAATCACATCTCATTACTCAGACTCTCATCTTAAGAATGTAAAGTCTAATATCTATGGATGGATGTTAATTTAATCCATTGAATTATGATTTTAATTATTTCTGGCAGAGAAAATATCAAATCCATCTCAGCGATTTTAAAGTTCACAAACGACTTATGACTATATCTTATTTGTTATGCAAAAAAACAATGCAATTCACTCTTCTGAGTTTTCTGCACAGATTAAACAAGTTACCTTGTTTCCCCCTGCTACTATCTCTGGAGCTTAATTTCAACTTGTAGTTGTACA